TCTTTCGACAACGACGAAGCCCCTCTCCTCCGCGATGTCGAACAGCAGAGCCGCGGCCCCAACGGCGATGCGCAGGGTCAGCAGTCTTTCCTGGAGATGAACATCGGATTTGTGGCTGGTGTGATTCCGCGGGACAGGATTGGTGCCTTCGAGCGCATTTTGTGGCGTACTCTGCGTGGTAACCTCTACATGAACCAGTCGGAGATCCCCGAGGCCATCATCGACCCGACGACCAACGAGGAGTCCCACAAGAACGTTTTCGTCATCTTTGCTCACGGAAAGAGCATCATCGCTAAGATCCGAAAGATCTCCGAGTCGCTTGGGGCCTCCCTCTACAACGTCGATGAGAACAGTGAGCTGAGGCGGGATCAGATTCATGAGGTCAATACTCGCCTGGGTGATGTTGGCAATGTTCTTCGTAACACCAAAAACACCCTCGACGCGGAACTCACGCAGATTGCCCGCTCTCTTGCCGCTTGGATGATCATTGTCAAGAAGGAAAAGGCTGTGTATGATACACTGAACAAGTTCTCCTACGATCAAGCGAGAAAGACTCTTATCGCGGAAGCATGGTGTCCGACCAATTCGCTGGGCTTGATCAAGTCAACATTGCAGGACGTCAACGACCGCGCTGGGTTGAGTGTGCCTACTATCGTCAATCAAATCCGGACCAATAAGACCCCACCAACCTTTATGCGGACGAACAAGTTCACTCAAGCTTTCCAGACTATCGTCGACGCCTACGGTATCTCGAAGTACTCTGAAGCTAACCCCGGATTGTACACCATCGTCACATTCCCCTTCCTTTTCGCTGTCATGTTCGGTGATTTTGGCCACGGTGCCTTGATGACCCTGGCTGCTGCCGCTATGATCTTCTGGGAACGCAAGCTGGCGAAGACCAAGCTGGATGAGCTGACTTACATGGCATTCTACGGTCGTTACATCATGCTTATGATGGGTCTCTTCTCTATGTACACCGGTCTTCTCTACAACGATATCTTCTCCAAGTCCTTCACCGTCTTCCCCAGTCAGTGGCAGTGGCCCGACGATATCAAGCAAGGACAGACCGTCGAGGCATCGTTGAAGACTGGCTATCGCTTTCCTTTCGGTCTGGACTGGAACTGGCACGAAGCCGAGAACTCTCTTCTTTTCACCAACAGTCTGAAGATGAAGATGAGTATTTGTCTCGGTTGGGCACACGTAAGAGACTTCACCAAATTTCTTTTAACCATTGTTAACCTTGTTCACAGATGACCTACGCTCTCTGCTTGCAATACGTCAACGCTCGGCACTTCAAGTCGAAGGTTGATGTTATTGGTAACTTCATTCCCGGAATGATCTTCTTCCAGTCCATCTTCGGTTACCTTGTTCTTACCATCATCTACAAGTGGTCCGTTGATTGGAACGCCCGAGGCCAGTCTCCTCCCGGACTTCTCAACATGCTTATCTTCATGTTCCTCTCTCCGGGAACTGTCGAGGAGCAACTCTACCCCGGTCAGGCAAGCGTCCAGGTTCTTCTCTTGCTTCTTGCTGTCATCCAGGTGCCCATCATGCTTTTCTTCAAGCCATTCTATCTTCGTTGGGAGCACAACCGTGCCCGCGCTCTTGGATACCGTGGCCTTGGCGAGCCATCCCGGATTAGTGCGTTGGAAGACGATGCCGATGGCGGTCGCGACAGCATGGCTAGCGACGGTGAAGGTGTCGCCATGATTGCCCAGGATCTCGGTGACGAAGAGCACGAGGAGTTCGACTTCGGCGAGATCATGATCCACCAGGTCATCCACACCATTGAATTCTGCCTGAACTGTATCTCCCACACCGCCTCCTACCTGCGTCTGTGGGCTCTGTCTCTGGCCCACCAGCAGCTCTCTATCGTGCTGTGGGACATGACCATTGGCGGCGCTTTCGAACAAGAGTCTTCCACCATGCGGGTGATCATGATCGTTGTCACCTTCTACCTATGGTTCACCTTGACCATCGCCATTCTCTGTGTCATGGAGGGTACCAGTGCCATGCTTCACTCCCTCCGTCTTCACTGGGTCGAAGCCATGAGCAAACATTTCATGGGTGACGGTATACCTTTCACCCCGTTCAGCTTCCAGACCCTCCTCGAAGAGGATCCTGTTGATTAGTCTTTCTTTTTCTGACTGCATGCGTTGCATTTTCCTTTCCTTTCACACTTTTGGATCAAGATGTCACATTAGTACATTCCCTGAGGGAATTCGATCGAATCTAGATATTCATGGCGTCTTGTCCTTTTATCCGTGTCTTTCTTTTGGCTGTGCTACTAGATGATCGGAATTATATATGTCAATTGTATACACAGAAAGAAGTCGTAGGTCATATTATTATATCCATATGCAATGTAAATTATCTCGCTGTAGAGATTAGTGAACCATTATTCTGGTCACCCTGCAATCAGAGGAATTCGCACGTCTCGATCTCAAGCGGCATGTATGAAAGTAAAGCGGAGCATTGGAGAGAAAAAGCCATGCCCAGACCGCCACCAGGCAGTTGGACATTCCTTCAGCGCCTCGTGTATAATAACTTGACACTTATAGCTTGAAACATTTCTATTTCATTGCTCAAATGAATACGATGTCCAACTATGGAATCTTTGCCGAGTTCGCTGCAGTGTAGGAATTCGAGGAAGGAAATTTATAATTCCACCAATCAAGGGCATGCTTTAGCACAATCGCATTAGCTACTATTGAGTGGCCGACATAATTATCATTTACTTGACTTCAATATCTTGTAATACTATAATGTCTAGTATTTGGCAGAAAAAGGGTATTTTAGCCACTGCTCTACATGATATCATGCTCGCAATTGTTGCAGCTGGGATATATACTAAAGTGTTCATCTTCATGCCGGTCAAGAAGTTAGTTACACTTGTCTTTCCAAATCTCCACTTCCACTCCTCTATAATACATATAGTATATGAAGCTTACTTACATTATTCAATACCCCCAGATAATTCCAATATAAAGTCCTCCTACCCACCCAAAACCTGACCCAAAACCAACAACCCCAGCACCACAACCCCAGTCGTGAAACCACCACCAGACATCATACCCATCCTCTCCGCCCCAGATGTAGTACATTTTTCAGTCCCTAGTAGATACCATCACTCAATCAGCCCAACCCTAACCCAACCCAATCCAAACCACACAAAACCATGAACAAAAGATGGAAGATAGTATACATACCCCTCGCATACGCACACAAATCATCATACGCCCAAATACTACCAATCCAACTAGTATAATTAAAACTCCCCGTCAGATTATCACACCGGGTGTAGCTACACTCCCAAGCAGCTTCACTCCAGTTATCCGACACCCCGTGCGCATTCTCACAGATGCATTTCAATGTGGATTTAGACGTGCTTTCTGCGATGGCAGTGTAGTTTGTTCCGCAGGTGCCGTTGTCGAGGATTTGAAGCAGGTAGTCGGTGTAGCAGGGTCGGAAGCATGCGGAGTAGTGGTTCATGTAGGCATTCCAGGAGCAGGGTGTGAAGGACATTTTTTTTTTCTTTTTCTTCTTTTCTTTGATGGTTATGGGGCAGGATGATGAGTGTTGGATTGGGTTTTATTCAATTAGGAAGTAGTAAGTTGTATAGTATATCTGAGTTGGGATTTTGGGGGATTGGTTTGGTATTAGTACTCCTAATGACTGATTACTCTTTTTGTGTTTGTGTCATTTGTTATCCCTGGGCCATCTATCCTATCTCGCTCTTAATCAGAGAATCACTGTTTGGATAGACCCCCCCTTAAGGAGACGATGAGAATTTTCTTCATCACTATAGATAGTGGGCACTTCATCTCATATCTAGTTAGTAGTAGTTTAGGTCTTTTTAGTCCACCTACTACCGAAGGGAGTTAGATCCGCTCAAATCGGGGGTTTAAGGAAGGGTCCGAAAGTCTCCGATTGGCTGGTAGTAGTTTGTGGTCATAATTGCAATCCATGGATAGTGGAAATTTGGGCATGTTGGCTAGTAGATGGGCTAGGAGTAAGTAAGGTTTTGACTTGGCGAAGCTTCGCTATGTTTAATGTGGAATGTGGTGGGAAGAAATCGAGATGTGGATAAATACTATGTTGGGGGTTGGGTTTGGATGGTGGAGGTGGAGATATATTAAGAAGGGGGATCTGGTTGAGATTAGGTAGGAGGTCTTTCAATCATCATGTCGAGAAAGACTTTTCTTTCGAAGAAAGGAGGAACTTAATGTAATTATCTGTGCCGTTAAGCGACATTAATAATTAAAGAGAGCAAAATGGGTGAGTCGGAGTCTCTTGGTAGAATCCTCTTACTAACGTATGGAAGTGCACGTGATGGATGTCATGGTACTGGCGACTTATTTTCTACGACTGTTTAACCAATGTGTATGATGATCATGGTAATAATCTTCTAGTATTCGATGAGTATGGATCTGTCAACTTAATCAAGGGGCTACTACACATGATAGTGTTCAATCCAATACTAGGGTACTAGGTGCTGGGTAAATAAATATACCAGCAAGTCTGTCCAAGCAGAGCTTACTACACTATAGACCTATAACGTCAGTATAATATATCTGCACCAGGCCAGAAAACACACTGCTATCCTCTGTCCGTTAGCCGGCACATTTATATCAGTTGGCTAATAACTTATCTAATCATCTGTGAGTATAAGAAAGAGAAAGTAATTTGGGCCAATAGTGCGGGGGCGGGGCAAGGTCGGAGACATGCAAAGGAACAAAAACATTAAAACACTACAAGGTTGATGGCCCTACAACTGTGGCTTACAAATAACTAGAAATAAATGTTTTAAGAATTTGTGAATCGGATGTATGATTATAGAATTTTTATTTGCATTTTGAATATGTAAATGTTTGTGGATCATAAATCACATGCCAGTGCAAAGGTGTCACCGGGTACCTGCTGTACGCACTGACTGGCTCGCATTAAGTAACATGAAACCATTAAACTCCACCCTAGTGCTGTTCCATTGTGGCATGAACTCATTTGTGGTGCTGGTTGTACGTGTCGATAATCTTCTGTACCTCGTCCTTCGAGCCCAGGAACACACCGCTCCGGTCGTGAATGTGTTCCGGAACCACCTCCAGAAGACGCTCCATCTGGGAGTTCACTGCCAGACCACCTGCGTTCTCGAAAAGCATAGCCATGGGGGCACACTCGTAGAGGATACGCAGCTTGCCCTTGCGGCTCTTGGAATCAGCCGGGTAGGCGAAAACACCACCGTAGAGGAGAGTCCGGTAGGCATCGGCCACCATGCTACCAATATAACGCGCGCTGTAAGGCTTCTGGCCGTCACCGGGGTACTTCAGCGAGTGGAGGTACTTGTTCACCCAGTCATCCCAGTACATGCTGTTACCCTCGTTGACCGAGTAGATGGCCCGCTTGGCGGGAAGCTGCATGTTGGGGTGTGTCAGGATGAATTCACCCAGGGAGTTCTCCATGGTGAAGCCATTGACACCGCCGTTGCGCATGGTGATCACCAGCTGTGCGGAGGCACCGTACATGGTGAAGCCAGAGGCAACCATCTCCGTGCCGGGGCGAAGGAGGTCCTGAGCAGTGACCTTGTTGTTGGGACCGAGGACCTCATCGGGAAGCTTGAAGATTCCGAAGATGGTACCAACCGAAACGCCAGCGTCAAGGTTGGAGGAACCGTCAATAGGGTCACAGACCACGGCATAGCGGGCGTTGGGGTGCTCGTCGAAGATGATAGCCTCTTCCTCCTCCTCGGAAACAAGGATACGGCACTTGCCGGAGCCCTTCATGGCGGAGATGAATATATCATTGCCGATGACGTCAAGCTTCTTCTGATCGTCGCCAGTCGTGTTTGAGGAACCAGCCAAACCAGTCAGGTTAATCAAGGAAGCGCGACGAATGTAGTAGGCAATAGACTTGAAAGCAAATTGAAGAGCGTGGCAGAGTAGTCTGGAAAGAGGGGGGGAATCCCGTCGTTAGTAAGAGAAACAGCCAGAATTGATTGAGGAGGGGTAGGAAAACTCACGTGAAGTCACCGGTGGCTTCTGGAACCTTGACCTGCTCCTCCGTGAGGAAGCGGGTGAGGGTGACAATATCCGTGTTGATGTTCTCCTGTCCTACGGGAGGAGCACCGCCATTGCCGCTTGAAGACATGTTGTGCAGCGTGTGGTTTGAAGCTGGGGGAAGAGAGGGCTTGTGAAGTAGTAGTAGTAGTACAAGTGGAAAGCGGAGACAATCTAGTCTGGCGCTGGCTGCTTCTTTAAAAGAACTTTGGCTTTTCAACCTCGGGTCAACGGGGAAAGCAGGAAGATGCGGAGATAACCAGGGTACAGAGGAGGGGTGGGAATGAGCTGGGAGGAGCGGTTGAGATGTAGTTTATAAGTACTTTGGAACAAGTGGAGGAGGGAGGGACAGTTGGCAATGAGTACGTAGATACGTAGAAGCTGCAGGAAGAAAGTGATCTATCCTCCATCCCAGGAGAACAGGGGCATCCTTTAAGTGAGAGTTGGGGCCAGCCAGGACCAATCTTTTACCGGGTTAGGAACCTAACGTCAGAAGCCAGAATAAACCGGACATTTACAACAAAAAAGAGAGAGTGGAGAGAGAAAGAGCATCCAGAACCCTTTTCCCTTTGGGCCTGACGCAATAACTAGAAAGGAAGGATGGTTTTCGTCATTCCCCCACTCTAACCCGGTTTGGGCGGGTTCCCGGCTCTTTCTCTTGCCTTCGCCCGGTTTAGCCCCGAATTTCCCCGCGCTGGGATCTGGAGTTTCTTTCTACCAGTACGGAGTAGTCTATCCCGCATACTAGGAAGCATACTAGCTACTAGACAGTTGGTAAAAAATGATATTGGTGTGGTCAGGCTCCTAGATGCCATCCTGTGCTTCATAAGATACTATTTATTCTCATGCTTCCATTCGGATGAGCAACAGCGATAAACACACCCCACGCTGGTTCGACCCGGACTATTGAACTCCCTCGGCTCGTATTAAGGGGCTTAAAGAAAAATGTCGCATAAGCGCAGCTAGAAAGGATACCTAGACTATCTCTCAACCCGTTGTACCTAATCGCGGCGGGTGGATTTCGGATGGTCACCAGACATGCGAATTTTGATAATCCGCGTCAAACTATGCCGAACTATTCGAGTCTCGCCCGCTCTGTTTAATCAGTCGATTCCGGATCCCTCCTGAACAGCCGGAGTAGTACCTCCTGCTCCGTTGATCAACAAGGGATAGGTTAGTAACATGTCTCAAACATTTGGTCCAGCCTAATTGATCAGAGCTATTGCTCTGGCCATGAATAGTTAGTATGATCCCCCATGTCAGACTATTATTATACGAGTTTCATCCATCGGGAACCCGATTCAAAACCGGAAGGTAAGACGGGAAGTTCCACCGCCTTCTCTTCCGCCTTCTGAGGCAGACAGACACGGCAGAATGGGTTGTCGGTTAGATGCTTACCTAAACCACTCATAACCGGACCACATTGGGGCTAGCTTCTCGGTAAAATTAGCTCCGAACGGAATGCTTGAAAAACTTCGACGCGGATTTCCAGCTTTCTTCCCACACAACAACATCCCACACTGTGTGATGCCTTCCTATAATGCCCGTGGAAGCATGCATCACATATCTGTAGAGATCACCACATTACCGTGGCTTTGCTCACCTTTGTTGTTGAACTGACACATCTCGCCTCGATGCACAGGATTCAATTGGTAAGTGCCACAATTGCCAGCGCTTCCATCATCCCCATTCCCCTCTTTATGATGATACCTACAACCATTTCAAACTAGAGTCTTTGACCCCTTCAGGGCATGAAAACTCACTTGTTTTGCACGTCAGTCTGATGCTTTTGCTCAAGACATTCTTGTTCAATTTTCCAGACATTGATCAAAGCAGGATGCTAACGGTCAACAGGACACTAATACTCTCATCTAGCTCCCAGAAAAATGTGCGAGTCTGTCTGATTCAATGGTAAGCTCTCCCTTTTACCTTCCTTATCCTTCTCCCCATGACTTGCATGATGCTTCTTTTACAATATATACGCTGGAAATTACCGACTGAGACCTTCGGGTCATCGACGATAAAAATTGGCTATTTCTGATCAGTCATAAAAAAACTGCCTATTGTTTTCACTGTCATCAATTTTGTTCGCATATGCTGACGGTTACAAGATTGTCTACAGATCAACAGGCTCTTATCTTCACATATAGTTGGCGAAGGGTAAGCTATATTCTCACTGTCTCCTTCGTCTCCATCCCTTCGAAGATGAAACGGCACTGGGCTCCGACGGCGTCAGACATAACGTCCGGTCTTGATGGATATGCCCTTTTTGCGGCAGGCCTAGAAAACCTCGCCCACTGAGATAATTCTCAATAATGAAGATTCACACATAATAACCTCTTGGCTTGAAGCTAACTGGTAATCAAAGATGGCAGATATCTTGCTATGATCTTCTCTCTATGACACCTAGTAAAAGGTAAATTCAAGCCCTCTTCCTGCAATTCCCCAGTACACGAGGATGATTCCCTAGATGACGAGTCTTATTCGAGTTATCGATGCAGACAACATCTTTTTTATACCATTCATGCATTTCTGAAATACTTGTTCTCACATAGAACGTTGCATCAGTTGGCTCAGACCAAGGCTAACTCAATTGCAGTATAGGAATGTTTACTGGGACAACATGTTGCTCCAGTATAATGTCTCCGACCGTCAGGTATCTGTATGTCACCATCTCTATTCTCCGTCTGGCCCACATCGTACAATGATGAAACGACACAAAATAAAGACAAGCATATGTCCAAGTTGGCTTTGCCGACCGGGACGACAATCGTCATGACTGATCAGTCAACATGTTGTCAATACATCATTTTCAACCTCGCACGTCTATGGTGACTGACCAGCGTGGTAGTTATCGGTAGTTTCATTGCCATCGAAGAGCTCAACATTATACGTAAAACGTGAGTATACACTCTTTCGCAGCTCCCATTCCCCTTGTTTAAATGATGATTTACTACTATTTTATCACGACGGTCAACATAAAATATTTAACCTTGATGACCACCGCCTGTGACAGGGCATTGGATCTGATATGCACCTTGCTCATTATGATTGTTTTCGTTGCACATAATGTGTGGAGTCTTTGCTGACATGACTTCAGTAATATTATAGGCCTTGATCTTCGATCGACATGCTCCAATCGTTTAGGGGCAAGGATCCTGTCCATGCGGGACAAGAGTCGTACAACATGCTGGCATGTTCTTTCAGCCGGGATCTTTAGCTTGCAGTAGTCCGAATTCATAGCTACTATAATAAGAATCAATCCCTGGTTGTACTTGCATCTATCTTTATCGATAACCCTGTAATGCCCTGGTCTTCTGCGTAGGCGCTCATGGCCTGAGGCGACGGCGTCCCGTGCCCCTGTCATGGCGCGCCCGATTTGCCTACGGACAAACCTTTCACCCTATCGCAGACCCTGTGAGATGTCTGGACTACTGCTAGGCCTTGCTAGTCTTGACTATCTTCGTCATAGGCCGATGTGACAGCGATGCTGGTTTGTTGGAACAGGGTCTGGGCGAAGGGGAGCACGGAGGGCAACGAGCCTGTGAGAAGGCGCGGACGGACAACTTAAGCGCCAGCATCCACGCCGCCTGTGATCAAACCGGCCAGGCTGCATCTCGCGGGATGCACTAGTTCTCTGAAGAGTCAAGACCTGCAATCCCCCCTTCCTCATCCCCCCGCCCGCTGCTTGTTGGCTCTTGTGCTATTTTTAACCCTTAGAGGGACTCTAGCAGACTAGCACACATCTTGCTGGCCCTCCCTGGTCAGTCGATCGAAACCCACGATGCTCGTCGAAACGGTTGATACGTACCGACTGGCCCGTCTGGGCCTGCAAGCCTCCTCCACACCTGGTTGGACCAGAGGTTGTTGCAAAGAATAGAAGTCGGTCTGCGCTTCAGCCCTCTGGCTCCTTCTCAATCGCTCGTCCGTGTTGGCACAATCTAATCTCCCTCCTGCTTTTCCAGCCCTCAGCCCTCAGCCCTCAGCCTTCAGCCATGGCTCCGTGTTCGGTTGGCCCTGCATCCTTCCGTTAGTATGAATAGGTGCGCCCAGCTTTTCTCACACGCTGTGGTCCTCGACTTGTTCTCGTGTCTGTCTCGCAACGCTGCAAGGTACTGATCACGGCCTCTTTATAGCTGGCGATCGTCGGGCAATGCTGGCGACGAGCCGCCGTCTGGTCCTTATTCTTACAGCGGCTGGCCGACACCTCTTACCTCCAGCAATCAGCCGTCTCCTAGTCGTCGAGAGCATGCTGTACAGCCCCCTCCTCTGACAACATCGCTGGGTGGTCACCAATTCCAAGGGCTTGGACTCGCGCTGGGCTCAGGCTACAGTTCCACCCCTCTTTCGTCGACTTCACTGTCTAGTCCTTTCACGCAAGGCCAGTCTCCCGCCGTAGGCTCGCCTGGAGGGGCGGCAATCGGATCCTCACCAATGGCTTCTAGACAATACAATGTGCCTTACAATCCTCAGGATTGGGGCCCAGTGGGAACTGGTTCGATGAATGCTGGCCAAGCTACATATACACCACCGAATAACATGCTGCGGATCGTCTCTCAGCCACGGTCAACAGGACCACACTCAGGTCTGTCATAATTTTTTTTCTTCTGTCCCTCCTTCCCTGACTCCCTGATATCTTATACTCCTTTACCATTAGTAGTCTTGGGGATGTCTAGTTTGCTGCACGTTGGTGACCAGGAATCGAACCTAATGTGACTTTGTAGATGTATCTTTGTCGCCGCCTCCACCACCATACTCTCCACCAAGCCAGCAACATCAGAGAGAAAATGTCAGTCAGAATACATCCTCAAGGGGCTCCACGTCACCCAGTATGAGCTCCTCATATAATGGGGCGGTGCGTGCAGGTGGGGATGCTCCCTCAGAGTATCGACAGCGCCGACTTCCCCGTACTCGCCCTCTGTCAATGTTCGTGGGAAGTGAGTCGAGCCACAATCGATGTGTCTCGCTACCACCACCTCCGCCGCTGCCACCAGGCCTTTCATCCAGGTCTTCATCCCAGAATAGGTCAGAGACCTATCGAGAACCCGCACCAGTTATGGCAGGGCCAGGGCCGCACATTGTGGTCTCGCC